ATTTTACTATATCTCATTGTCCCTGCGGTTCCCCCACCCTCCCCATTCTGCTCCCCTAAGTGGGGGAGTATTTTACTATATCTCATTGTCCCTTCGGTTTCCCCACCCTCCCCATCCTGCTCCCCCAGGTGGGGGGTATATTTTACTATATGTCATTGTCCCTGCGGGTCCCCTCCGCATCCCCTAGGTAGAAAGTATTTTACTATATATCCTTTGCTCCTGCTCCTGCACCCCCATGATACTCAAAAGTGACCTGATATACTACTCCGGGCAATACTTCCCCCTTAACTATTTTCTTTATTCATTGTGTAATACCAATGCAAAACTTCGAAATGAATGTAGCTGAAAAAAAAAACGCCATCGTTTCAATACTGTAGGTGTGATGCACTTTTCGCCCTTCTTACCAACGTAAATATTTTTAAATCAATCAACAGAGTATCATAAGATCAATAGTTCGCCCCCAGCGCCGGAATGGATAGCTACCCCTATGTAATCAGTAGATAATCGAGATGTAGGCTAAGTGTTTGACTTTTTGTATACCCGCGCATAATAACCACCTAGTCAATGATATCCGTGGAATAAGGACAGTTTGTGAGGTAGCAGCTGCGATAGTTTTAGACTCGTTGTGCTCCATAGCGTGGGAGTGTTCAGCCTGAGCATCAAAGACGGAAGATGAATGACACATCGGGAGAATGTCTGTGAGGGGTAGGTGTAATTTGTGCAGGTTGAGGCCATGTGGTTGAAGCATGTCATTTATTTCTGCTAGAGCATGCATGCAAGCGGTCTTGTGGAATATGTTCTAAGAAAGTCCTCAGAAAGGGACAGTTTATGCGTGTCCCAAAGATGTGGAACTTTTTGTGGTTCGCCGAAGACACAGATAAAAACGAATAGTTGTCGCAAAAACGCTGGCATTCGTATCTCAGATGCCTCTATAAGTGTATCATGCCATATCGTCTTAAAGAAGACCAAATAGTTGGCACGCCTCTTTGATAGTGTTACATTCCACGCCGTTGACAGTTCGTAGACGCTTGAAACTCGTGATGCTTACGGAACGGGTAAGGAGAAGCCTGAGGTAATAACGTTCGGTGTCGTGAATGGCAACAACAGGCATTCTATCGATCACCTTTGCACCTCCTCTCATTCTATTTTGCCATTTTCTAGAGGATTGTTGGAATGTGTAACGTTGGGGAACATCAGTGTAATGTAACTCCACAGCTTCAGGATCCGTTTTATTGAGTTCAAACCAAGCTAAGAGCATGGTGTTTTTGTTTGCCTGTCTTTGCAGTGCTCGTTCTTCCTGACCCTCATGAAAGAAGACGACTTGTTGTTCTGGCAAATGAACTAGTAATCGTGTTATAACGTGCGATTTTTCTGAAAGACTGTACTCATTCAAACGCCACATAGCCTCCGGAGCACTAACCTAGCATCACGGAAAGTTTGTATTTCGTCATGTTGGAAAACACCATCGGCTGGCTCCTTCTGAAGTGCAATAGATGCAGCGTCGTGTCCTTTGTAGACGTACTTATATAGATACTTGACACATTGAACGGACGCGCACACTTCAACGTTGATATGAGCATTGAATTTCTGAGAAAGCCAGGGATTGATAGGTACTATCCAACGATTGTCGATGTCGTGTTTGCCAACAATGGCAGTTGTACCCTGACTTCGGCGGTATATGGGGTACCCTTGTGTGTTTTCTTGAGTCTCGGCGTTGAAGTCCTTTGTGAAATTTTTTGTCCACTTGCTGTCTTTTATGCAAGGTGAGCTGGCATTAACGTGCCACACGGACCATGTACCATGCATTTAGTGACAATTTGAAAAGGTCGAGGGTGTATTTCGGGATTTGGGAGCTCAGCGCAGGCATATTTGTCTATGTCATCTTTGGTCCTTATTTGTCAGTAACATATGGCAATGAGGCAAGCCACGTTTTTGAAACTCAATGACGAAAATGTCTGCGACTACATTGCCAAAAATATTCCTCTCCAAAATGCAAGTTAGGAACTCTCGCAGTTTGATATGAAAGACGCGGGCAACGACATCAGGCCTGTGTTCTGGTCGCTCATGATGGGAAATGGCGTTAGAGATTTCCGGCCAAGCAGGATTGCAGGTGAATGTTAGGAATAAGTCAGGCTTGCCACATTTGCGGACAATCGACATCGCGTCTTGGTAGTTCTGTTGCATGTACCGTGGACTGCCTTGAAATGTAGAGGGAAGAATGATCAACTGTCCAGGGTGAATGTTATTGCCTTGTGCTTTCGCAGCGATAGCATCAATCAGTCCCCTGTATTGTTCTACGCGCAAATCTTCTTGGTGGGAGCGTAGGTAAAGTAAACTCGCGCCTTCTGTTCTGACATATGCGTCGACTACATATTGCTGGAACAGTTTGCCTGTCAGCATAAAATTGGAGTTGTGTGACTCTGGTTCTGTTTGCGGTTCGCTTTTCTTCAACATGGGCCAATTGTATGTGCCAGCCTGGATCTCCATGAATACCATTCGTACAGAAGAAACAGGGTTACTATGAGTGATGATGTCGTGCATTTGCTTGTACGATTTAGCGAAGGGGTTAACCTGTCGTATCATTTTGTCTAGTTGCAACAACAACATTCTACTGCAAGTACTGTTACAATCATTTTGCAAACGTTGAGTGGTAGCCTCAGCAGAATCGAAGATATTTAGTTGACCGTATCGAGGGGTCGTGTTAGGATTGGTGTACAAAGGACTGATTTGATGATAAATTTGACCGTGGATTCGGAAAGCATATGGTCCATGAACAGGTGGTTGAGCAATTTGGGCGCCCATTGATGCGAAAGCTAAAGCAGAGTTGTATTCCCTAATATGATCGCAGAAATGTCGGGACATCGGGTTCTTGCCACTCAAGAGGTTTTGTAATAAAGGAGGAGTTTGGGATAGCGGTGGCAAAGACACTTTGCCGTTATGACAACACTTAGCGTAAAGTCCGGATTTGTTTACCTCTAATGGCCAATGAAGAGCATTGCAAGAAGTACATAGTGCGGTAGGTAGTCCAATGTCATGTTCTTCGATGGAAAGGGCAGTGTCTTTTTGAAACGCAGTGGAAAGTTGAATGTGATGAATGTGCATGTGGCCTGCGAGAAGATGCGACTGTTTGAAAGAACGTTTGCAATGTACACACTCAAAGAAGGATTTCGTCAGGGCATGAGTTTTCAAACGGTTGATAAGCTATTTGCGTGCGAGAAACTGTTTATCGCAAAGAAATGGTGTTGAATGTTTTTCTACATGTACATGTTTAGTTTGTAAGTGCTTCATAAGAGTGCGAGTTGTTTTGAAGTGAGCAGGTGGCGTCACATCAGTGTGGAGATCAAATGGGTGTGGAATGTTGGTGCACATGCCGACGTTGTCAACAGATAGCACCAGAATGTCATCACGTGTGTTTGTGAAAGGCAAGAGAACATCATAATTGCCATGATCCAAAGGACCGCTAAATAGCAGGGATATAGAGAGACCTTGACCCGGATTGTAAACTCAAGGAGGGTCATGTGGACGTTCTCGGAAGTGATTAGTGATAGAGCGGGAAGTATCTGAGACATCGCCACAATTTCAGCATCGCCACCATAAACGCCGGAAGTATTCAAGTTGAGCAGAGTTTATGACTGTGCTCCCGAGAGTAAGAACAACGGATAGGGCGTCGCCTTGGTTGCCCCAATGTTCGCAAACAAAGCTTACAGCCATCTTGCGAGGTTTGAGAGCAACAGTTTCGTCGATGACATTTTTCCAGAAATATGCGACTGATAGGAATAAGCAATTACCTGATGAAGGAATTTCGACTGCATGGAAAGACCTGTTGACTCCACGAAATATATGTGAATCGGTGGCAATGGTTAGGAAACAAAGGGGCAAAATCAAAACAAAGCTTCGGGGACAAACGTAGCTCAGACGACTGTAAGAGGTACCCAAGCAACTGAGGACACAGGAGCGACTGAGGTACACACTGCTGCGGCTACACACTGTTTCGCATGCCCCCCCCCTTATGAAAGCAGCCTTCCGTGAGTACAGTTTAGAGACGACAATGAAAATATCAAGCAGAACTTTTTCTCCTATTTGTTTCAAATAATTTAAAAACTAAATTATCTGCCCCTAATAGCCGTCAATTATTGGAACCGTCTCTACTACAGTAAACATTCGGGGTGAACCACAGCTGACCTGACCGGTGGGGATGAGGTAGGTGGCTAAGCTGCTTGGTGTTTTACTATCAGTAGGCCGTTAAGGACGATAACACCCCACCCCCACCCTCCTTTCCCCCAACAACTACCCTACACCCCCCGTGAAGCAGCCTCCTCTTAATTACCTCCCCGAAGTTTAAAATAGTTTCAAACTAAATTGTCTGCCCCTAATAGGCGTCACTAACCCGGCTGTACGATTGTAAACATTGTTAGCGTTAACCACAGCTCACCAGACCATGTGGCGGGTGGGAGTGGTTGATTTATGCCTAGTGAAAAAGAGAGGTGACTGCAAGACGCGCTTACAGCTTGTTTTCTAGCGTCTCCAAGAAGAGAATTATACATAGAGATTTCTTAGATAAATATTAAATCAAAAGTAGTTTATTAAAACAATATCAGTGCAGTTCTCGTACTTTTAAACATGATACTTACCTTTAAAAAAATGGGTTTTACATGCCTTTCAGGATTTATAAAATAAAATATAGGCTACTCGATTTCTATTTCAATTAATAATATATTTCAAAAACAATATTGTAACCAATGATTAATTAAGGATACTATCTGCGATATCGTTGTGTTTAAACATCTTCAACACCCGGTTACTTTAGGACCCTAGATTCACTACAGGTATTAAATTTAGTTATATAGTGTCAAATGCAACCCTAATCAACTTGAAATATTATGAAATGTTATTTAATTTTTTTTTTAAAAGTTATACCATTTAAACATGTTTTAAAAACAAGGCAGAATGACCACATTTTTTTAAGTTAGGGAAATAGAAAGATCAAAAGAAGGAAAACATTACTCGAAGGCTATGAATGTCTCCATCGGTCCTTGAATGGTCCAAGTACAGTAGGCTGCAAAACTTTGTGGATAACTTGGGCTGGTTATCGTTCCTGTTGTGGCTGTCACTGTGCTATTACAATCTATAAAATAAATGTTGTTTAAACTGCATGTAATTAAGCAAGAGTGGATTCATATTGTTATAATAACTATCATAGTATTTAGTAGACCTATTTAGTTATTAGAAAATTCGATTCCTTTAAAGAAGAAAGAAATGTTAATACATTTTTAAAAATTGATTTTGAAAGCTAAAATAAAGATTTTCTGTTAAAATAGTTTAAAATAATTGTTAAAAATAAAATAAAATTTAATTTTAAATAAATTTAAAAGCATGTTAATAATAAGTTTTAAAATTAAATATAATATTTAAATATAATAACTGAGGAAACCTAAAATTAGACGGAAAATGCACTGAACATAACCTCCATTTGGGTGTTATAATTAAATGAACCACGGGTAGCGAACATATTGTGCACGGTCTCTTTTTTTGCCGGGTCGATTTAACGAGGCTCTTATACCGTGATTATTTGTCATGGTTAGTTTGGACGCCGCAGTCCATTGCTATAATATGTGTTTTTGGAAGGTCTACACAATTTTCGTTAAAGTAAACAAAGTGCCTCTTCAGACCTTTAGCGGACACAATACCTAGTCCATTTTGAGCCTTTGCAGAAGATGAAATAGAGATCGCTTGTTTAAGTATTCTGAGCATATGAGTGATGGTGCGGTCAATAATATAACCAGTCGGATTTACCGACGTTTTGTATGTAGGTACCCACCAAATTAATATCTACAAAAAATAGTAAAAACTAGCCTTGCACTGGCAAACGCAAATTAAAACATAACCAGAAACATAAACACAAATTTAAACGCAATTATTAAAACATACAAAAGTACAACCACAAAAGGCAACATAATTATCAACGCAAATATCTACGAAAACATAAAAGCAAATACTAACGCTAACACAAATATAAAGTAAAAATAAACGTAAATACAATAAGGACATTTAGTAATGACTTAAGCTGCGGCCTTCACGTGGCTTCGGATGAGTGCCACTAGTCGGACCAAGCTCATGACCCCCCTAGTGAGTGCGGAATGACTAGTGGTAGCCAATAGCAGCTAGAGGTTTTCGATCCGGCCGAGTGGAACTGCTGTATGCGCTGGGCTCGGGAAACGGTAGGTGGGGAAGGAAAGCCTGGTGAGAACGCCGCCCTCGATCAAGCTGGGTACCAGACGGTGGGACGACGTTCCCAGTCTTGCGTCTGGTGGGTGGGGAAGGAAAGCCCGGTGAGAGTCCACGGAAGTTGCGACCGATGTGTATGGAACTCGAGCGGAGTTTGCTGCACTGAGGCCTGGCTGGCTAATGGAAGTGAACCTTCTGAGGCGGTTTCCGTATAAGGAAGGAAGGAAGTAACGACTTCTAAATTATTATTGATGAACATAATTATTTGAACGAGCCGACCCGCGGCGTATCATACGCCGCTATTTAGCAGTTTTATTTTCTACCTTTCAGTAATTCATAATTTGTGAATTCGACAGTACCAAATATTTGCTTTAAAACACTATCAGTAGCTCGTTAAGTACGATAACCCACACTCATTTCCCCAACCCCTACCCCGCCCCGCACCCCCGGTTAAGGAAACTTCTCTTAGTTACCTCCCCTAAGTTTAAAATCGTTTCAAACTAAATTATCTGCCCATAATAGCCGTCACAAAACCAAGCTCTACGATTGTAAACATTTAGCGTGAACCACAGCTCACCAGATAATGTAGGGGTGATAGTGGTAGGGAGCGCGCTTGCTCTTGGTGTTTTCTATCGTCTCCAAGAAGAGAATTATATATATATAGATAGTAAACAATAATTTCAATGTAATAAATCTTTGTTTTGTCTACCACACTGTCTACTGCACCGCACTTTATCAATGCATGATAATTCTTAAACTCATTTTCAGCACACACAAAACACACACTGCATTTGTGCAGTTTTTATTTTGTTATTTTTTGTTGTTGAGCTTTTGAGTTTTTACCTAATCAAGTTAAATAACTTAGATAAGATTTTACTTTTTGTGAAGGACGCTCTTTGCATCTTACGTTAATTTAAAAACATAAGTTGCAATTTGAACATTTATTTTGGAATAGATAAGTTTTAAAACATTAATTCATGTTTAAATACAAAAATTGAAACCATAAGAATATTTCACAATGATGATTTAGTTGTGTTCTTATCATATGCTTGTTGAACACAAACATAATTCGCAGATAGCCCATTTTAACTATATAGAATACATAACATTAACTGATTACATTCAGAAATTTTTAACTCTATTAACACCAAAAGTACCCATTAGCCATTGTTGTAAATTTAATTGAAATATCAGAAAAAAAAATAGGATTCGGCGTGGTCGAGTCGGTAAAGCTCATGGTTGCTAAACCGAAAAGTCTCGAGTTCGAACCCTCGGGCAGATGAGGCTCGTTAGCTGGGGACAGCCACTCTTCTAGGAGAGACAACTCCAAAAATTAAACAACTGCTGCCTTGTAGTTTGTTCTTGGTTGGACAAAGGCTATGGAAGCAAATCCAAAAAGAAAAGCAGGCTGAAATCGGAGTCAATGGCCTCAATGGCGCATAACCAGTTGACACGTAACGCTTAATTGTGTTGGAGGCGTGGTCGAGTCGGCAAAAAGCTCTTGGTTGATAAATTCGAACAAAGTCTCGAGTTCAAACCCACTGGCAGATAAATCTCGATCCCCTTCAACACTAATAATTAAGAACGAAGAAGAAGAAGAAGAAGATCAGAAAAAAAAGCTTAAAACCAAAGAGTTATTGCTAACTTGTAATTATCGTTATTATGACATAAAAATTATGTTGAACGATTTAACAATAGCAATAAAATGTATAAATAATGACTTGAACTCACCGGGAACACAAGCAACAGCGCAAGTGCTGAACGTTGTCCCATCATCACATACACATTTTGAATCCTTGCATTTTCCCGTGACACACTGGCTGCTAATACTGCAAAATTGGTTGTAGCCAGTTAAACCAGGGGGTTGTGTGTTACAGAAGGCAGATTCATCTTCACCTGCGATCTAATGTAAAATAGTTTTAGCTAAAATTTCCTTTTTGTGATTCGGAAATATACATATAAACAATATAAAAGTTTGTATTTTTAGTGGCTAACATGATAGGAGAAAATTAAGCGATTAATTAAACTTATGAACGTCTTAAAATGTACCCCAACATTTAGTGGTATGGGGTAGGTTTTGTGATTTCGGCATATCAAAAGATAGAGTGGTCAACAGTAAACTCAGATGCTTTTTACTTCCCTAACGTAAGTCAGACACCCAAAGTGGTAGGTGGAAACATGGGCGTTATAGGGACTTGAGCCCGAACAATTTTGGGAGGGCTTCAAAGTGACCAGTTCGATTATAAGCATTACTGTTTGTTGAAAAATGATGACTATTTTCAACTTAATCGTTTGGGTATTTAGGTTCTTTACAACTGGCAAATTCTTTACATAGACCTGAGTGAATGACCTGGTCATATGAAAACACTATCGAGCAAACTTAACTTGCACGAAGTGGGCTAAAAACTGACCACGTGTGATAATAGCCTTATATGAGCTAAATAAGAGATGTACCATGTCAAATCACTATGATAACTACATAGACTGTAAAACGTTTTGCGGGGGGTCACAAAAATGGTGTTACATGTGAAAAACTTCTAAAGACAGTTATAACTGGCTAAATGCCATATTTATTCATATAGTCTTTGCAATGTAATTGAAAACTAATTTTAAAAATGTCCTTGATGATTTCTTGGTAGTAGAATGGTTTTATCATGAAATTAGACAAAGGAAAAAGTAGGACGTCTCTTGGTTTTAATGATTTAAATATTAAGTTTACGTTTGAAATGTTAGTATTAAATAAGCGACAATGCTTAATAAAGTATCGGTTTAATTATTATTCAAATTTGGTAAAAACTATGATTTAAGTAAATGATTTTCGATAACCTCTGAAAATTTAAACACCACCCTCCAAAACTTTCAAGTACCACCCCTTCCCCTCTGGGGAGAAAAAAGTCTGAAAGAAACAATGATCGCATTTGTAGATCATACAGACTAGAGGAAAAGAGTACTTCTATAAAATAGATCAATTTCCTACTTTTGGCAGATAAATCTTACAGTGTTTCTTTCAGACGACTTCTGTGAGTGGGCACTTGAATTTTTGCAGAGGCAAATACAATTCTCTGGGGCGGGGGAAGCCGGCACTGGTATAAGTATTTATTTCTATTTAAGTTATATTTGGTTGTTGTTGTTTTTTGTTTTTTTTTGGGGGGGGGGGGGGGGGGTATGCGATCTACCAGGGGGGGCTGGAGGGCTCCGCCTCTACCCGAAGAGACGCATGAAAAAAAACTGCACGCAAACCTTTTAAGATTATACGAAATTTGATTTTTAATTCAACGTTTACTCGAGAATCAATGACGTCATAGTTTTATGTGTACTTTCCGGGTTTTGAAAATTTCCTAGCATATGATCCATGTGACGTCGCGTTTCGTTTTTGGTGCATGTTTTTACTCTGTGTTTTCTCCACAGTAAAAGCGTTCCCAAATGATTGATAGATGCACAGACAGCGAAACTATTTATAACTATTTATAACAATTTATTGCCCGTTGAGTGAGAGATACAACGGGCGCTAGGTTGATAGTGATGTATTTTTCTCTAAATAAAAAACCAAAACCAAAACAAAAATCACCGCCTTTACCTCTACACCCACTTGTCGCATTTGTAGATCATACACACAAAAGGTAGAGCCTAGGCCTACTTCTATGATATAGACTTGTTTTCAACTTTTGGCCGATACATTTACTCAAGCAGGCAGTGTTCGTTTCAGGCAATTTTTTCCGGGGGTGGGGCACTTGAAATTTTACAGGGCAAATACATTTCTCGTGGTCGGGAGAGGCCAACACTGGTAAAAGTATATATTTTCTACAAACATTATTTGTGTTTAAAAGGGGGAGGTTGGCTTTGTCCCTACCCGAAGAATTGTAAGCAAGAAACTCCACGCAAACCACATTTAAGATTAGACAAAATTGGCCTTTTAATTCATTGTTTACTCGAGTATCAATGACGTCATATTACTGTATATATATATAAATATATATGTATATATATATAAATATATATATATATATATATATATATATATATATATATATATATATATATATATATATATATATATATATATATATATATATATATAACGTCTGAGAGAAACACTTTCTGCGTAAGTGAGGTTTATCTGTCGGCCAAAAGTAGTAAGCCTACTTAGGCTCTACCTTTAGTCTGTATGATCTCCAAATGCGACCGGTGTTTCTTTGAGATATTTTCATCCCCGGAGACTGTACTTGAAATTGTCGGAGCGGGGGTGGTTAAAATTTTCTGGGTAGGGGTCGGACACTGATAGAAGTATACACTTTCTACATATTATATCCTGTAGCGTAGCGAGGGGGGGGGGGGGGGGGGCGGGGGAGACATATGTCCCCGGGCACCGACCTTAGGGGGCGCAAAAATGGGTTAGAAAAATAAATTGAAAGGTTGACGGGGGTGCAAATTGAAATTTTGAGGGGGTTGCAAATCGAAATATCAAAGGAGGGGGGGGTTCAAATCGAAAAGTTTGTCCCCGGGCGCCGGGAAGGGTCGCTACTCCTCTGATTATATCCTCTGCAGGGGCGGAACTACAGTGCCGCCAGACCCCGCAATGCGGGGGGGGGGGGGGGCACGCCATTTAGGGGCCCAGAGCCGACCATAATACAAATTTTTATAGTTAAAAAAAATTAAATTTTTTCACTTTTGACTTGATGGTTGTTTTATAAAAAATTACCGTAGCTGCGGTTGGATTATCTTTATTCTATAGACACCACCCCACGCTCTTGTATATTCTTTTTCCCTTTGTTTTTAAACCATTGTGAAAGCCGAGTCTTTCTCCAACAATTAAACTTATCAAAGATAAGCAAATGTTCAAACCACTTCCATGACTAATTTCCCTTTTTTTTAAAAATAGTCAAATAGTGGTGATCATAAGCTCCTTTTAATAGATTTGTACTAAACAAATTAAAAAGCAATTAATTATATTAATTATTATATTTTTAATAAGTATATACTAAATAATGACAATGAATAAAAAAGGCAATGTATTAAATCAATATTTAAAAAATTAATAATATAAATACAAAAAAAAACATAAAAATAAACATAACACGAGACACAATTACTTATACAAAGCTTTCATGTTTTATATTATTTTGACAGATGTGATTTTTATTTGGGCTTCTATCAGTAATTAATTAAAACTGATTTTCACAAAACACAGTAATGCACTTACACCAGGGGTCGGCAACCTGCGGCTCGCGAGCCGCATGCGGCTCCTTTGATATCAAGCTCTCCAGTTCCTTGGACAAATACTAATAATCTTAATAAAAAAATAAAATATTTGAAATAAAAAAATGTTAGTGGCTCTTTAAAACCAGGGAAATATTGTAACTTTTGGCTCTTCCGCTTCAAAAGGTTGCCGACCCCTGACTTACACACATAACATGATGCTGAAATTTTTTAATTGATGTTTTTCAAATCCCGAACAGGCCAGCAATGAGTATCCCATGTTCGTATTTTGTGATTATATATATATATATATATATATATATATATATATATATATATATATATATATATATATATATATATATATATATATATATATATATATATATATATATATATATATATATATATATATTGGGGAGGGGGGCCTAAAAAAAATTTTTGCGGGGTGACCCTTTTTTTCTAGTTCCGCCACTGATCCTCTGTCGTCGTAGACTTTCTTTGTGCTCAGCCTACCCCTACCTCACCCTCCAACTCACCCGAAAAGTTACCTGAAAGAAACTCTAAACTGTATCAATTTGAGTTTAGGTTCAGGTTTATGGGTTTGACTACGACTATATTAAATATGGATGTGCAGTAAATTCTTGATAAAAATGGCAGTATTTTTTTCCGGTTAATATGGAAGTTAAGGTGGTGATTTTGGTTTTGGTTTAGATTTAGAGAAAAAGACAACACTATCAACCTAGCGCCCGTTGTATCTCTCCCTCAATAAGCCATGTGTCTTGTTATTATAAATGCCTTGTTTTAATAATATTTGAGAGAAGAAAATGCTTGTTAATTAGCTCAGTACAAAACTATTAAAGAGAGCACTTTGGGCTTCTCTATTAGACATTTCAAAGTTGTGAGATAAGTTATGTAAGTTGTTTGGAGGTTTGTCAATCTTTCACACTATAGCTCATATTGTTGTTTTCCTCCCTATGCAACAGCAGTGTTTTTTACTACCAAACAATCACTGCTGTTATAAATCTGGGTTTCTTTTACAAAGCAATTAGTCTATGAATGTGCAAAAATGTATTGTGTTGTTATTGGTCAGGTTTGTGGACTCCCTAAGTGGCCTGGGCCTCCTCGCATTGCGGGGGTCAGGCTTTAGAGTAGTTCCGCCCCTAAGTAAGACAACCGATGACTATATTTTAATATAAGGTTAAAGATAATAAATGTATGGTACTGGCAGCTTTCTGTTGCGAACTTATGTGTCCAGGGCTACAAAAGAGCACGATGACACTGATTGTAATTTACGCAAACAGTTGTACGTGTGTTAGAGTATACTTAAAACGTCGAATAAAAGAGTATGATACTCACCAACAAAGAACTCCAAAATAATGTTAAAAACAACGTCGTGATAAACTTGTCTTCCATTTTCAACACATCTGCATCGTGGTGAGCAAGCAAGACGACTGTGAGAACCCTTCAGTCGAAGCTTGATTGAAGTTGTCTAGCCGTTGACATCTGAAATGCGTGCGCAGCTGCAAGTAAGACAAGGAAGTAAAAAAAAATACAATGCCCTGTTTTGTTTTACTGTATGTAGCAGCTTTATAAATAGGTTTACTTTATTAAGATTACTCGCAAAATTTAGAAATACCGTAAATTCTCGTTTCTTTTAATAACGCATTAACCAAAATCTGTCACCATTTTATTTTTAGACTCTTAAATTTCTCCGAAAGATTTAATCGGTTGTATTGCTTCAATTGGGTTTGTTGAAACACATAGCGCATATATAAAAATTTTAATTGGTATCAAAATATTTTTAGAACTTTTGGTCAGAGGATCAGATGCACTCTACTTCATCAGCGCCATGGATGTCAAGAATTTATTTGTTTGCATGAACATAATAGAAACATTTTTTAAATATTTCGGTCAGAGGTTTAGATTCAGGACTTGATTTGTACTCTGAATAGTGTGTTCCATTTTTTTTATAATTTGGGGAGGGGGAGTGGGGGAGTGGGGGGGGGGGGGTTGGTTCAATGTGGACATTCACAAGTTGAATGTAACATCAAATACTTACATTAAAAAATTGCACATAAAACAGCAGCTAAATCGGCAGATCGCGCGTTAAATATAGTCTACTTATTTTTTTTCCAACACTTTCTAGGAATAGTAATAGATGTTAAAGAAAATATCTAAACCCTATAATGCATTATCAATTAATAATATAGCAAGGTACACATTACGTGTTAATGAATTGGAAATTTTGCAGAACGTTTTGAGAGTTCTACTAAATTCTATGGACATTGACATTGCTGGGGGGGGGGGGGGGGAGGGAGTTTTTCAATGGTTGAGGCATGATGTCGGGGAAGGGGGGGAGGGAGAGAGGGGAATGGTCTAAATTTCCAGATTATTGTGGACGTCATAAATAGATGACCGTTACCACACAATCTCTTCATACGCCAAAGTCGCAGGTATAGGTGAACTCTGCACTTTCACCAGTGGCCATCAGGTCTGACGAAGGTACTTTATGTTTAGTAATATGGTCTTTTTCATTCTAGACACGTGTGGTGATCTTTTACAGACAAGGAATATTGATACTATTACACTAGCATCAATCTGATCAAGGTCTACAGTGTTAAGATGTGAATTAGTGGCCATTGATATCATTCATAGAAATAATGAAATCACGTCAAAAGTAATGTACAAACATAATTTAAACTAATATAAAGGTACATTTAGTTCTTGAAGAACATTACGGATAGTAAATATAGCTGATCATACAATTGACTTAACTATCATTTATTATGTCGAGATTACAAAGCCGATAAACTCTACTTACATTGTTAGTCAAGTACAAGATGGTAACTTTAATTTTCAATTTTACAAAATAATTTGTTTATCGAAAATAACAACTATCTCTGGACATTGGCTTAATTTATTACAATATTTATTTAAAATGCTGAGTGTGTCTGTCTTACTTTGTACGTCATCGATAGAAATTTTGAACAATTTTAACCGGCCAATTTCTCTGAAACTTGTAATTTTAATCACAATTTATTCTATGAGTACTATCTAGCTCGCTATTATATGTAAAGATTTTGTGCTGAGTAAGTGTGCAATTGTTTTTAGTCATGTAGCTTTATTGGATTAAAACATTTAAGTTACTGAAAAACAAAAAAAAGCTTTAGTGTAATATCAAGCAGCGGGCCCGCCCTGAGCTGCTCGCGGGTGGCGGTAGCATGTTCCTAGTGTATGCTTCGAATTAGTGTGGATATTCATTCAGCGCACCCCATTTGTACTATTTTGATTGGGAAGCAAACTTTCGTAACAAAACCAATGATTCACTAATCGGAATAATAATAATGAGGCGATTTCATTCTAGTCCAAAACTTGTTTTCTAGGATTAAATAAATTATTAAACCAAGCGTCAAAAATAGCTATGATTAAGCGCCATTCGAGTGCTCTGAGAATTTCTTTTGTCCATTTCTGGGTGTTAGCATTAAAACAAAACAAAAAAATTGGCAATGATTGCTTAGGTTACGTACTTATGCAACCAGATTAATTAGCTAATGCGCTATGATATTAGCTAGTGGCTTTATTATACTATGGATGAAAATAATTTATACTACTTAGCATACTCTCCGTAACCATAAAGTAAAATATTGTTTTAATTAAATTAGATTCTAATTTAACCTATTCCACTGTTACCTAATATAATTAACAAAAAGTAATATCATTAAAGCTCAAAGCTAATAATGGATTAAAACTCAAAAAAGTCTTGTGTTTTATACGCCTAGATATTAAATCTAGAATCGATTTTCTCAAACTTAACAAACAGATGGCTTAAGTATTTATCGCTTGTTTTCGCGAATTTGATCATTTGTATGAAACAACGAACTATCAAATCATTAAAGCTATAGCTGATAGCTAATTATGCATTCTAAAGCATTAAACATTGCAAGTGACAAAAAGTGACACATTGGACAGCAATCTTTATTTACAATCGAAGCCTTGAACTCTGACCAAGTTCAAAGTTGATTTCGGCTTCATTCGTTTGGCTTCGTACACGCATATATAAGTAGATGCAATAATGCTTTTTAAAAAATTAAAGGACAAATCTTTAATTTAACATATTGCTGAATTTAAAATATGTATAAACTTTAACGCAAACCCTGCTAACAATTTATGAACAAGTAAATCAAACAAGCCTTTAACTAGTAACTAGATGAACATTGATAAAAACCGCTTAGTGTTGCTTTTAGACATTGCTAATTTTTCTAAAAAGTGGGAATCTTTTAAAAATTTCCAGGGAGTGTATCATTTAAATTTTCTGAAGTGGGTACGAAATCTTGTGAAAGTCGAAATGTTCTGGATAATATTATACTGTTTGTTTTTTGTATTTCGTTCACAAGGGTTGGGGGGGGGGGGGGTGATGAAGGAGAGTGACGGAAGTAGAAACTGGTTCTGTTTATTTTGTCGTTTGTTCTAGAGATTTAGACTTGCTTTGTATGGGATCTGACCACTTCCAACCCCCTCCTCATAAAAGATGGCTGAGATAAACCCTAGGGGAGAACGACTTTTGTTTTTGCTAATAAAACGTTATAGTTTCAATTAAACTTCCTTTTCTCGCTCTCCACTTATCTTAAAGTGTCCAGATAGATCCTTGTGTTAACAATGTAAGTATTCGACCAGGGTTTGTATGCTTAGGCCTCTGGAGATAAGAAGTCTAACAGAGTTGTCATTTGTTTGCCGTCTTTTACGATGAAATAAATTAGAAGAAATTAAATATGTCTCGGTGCCGAAATAAAAAAAAATTACCCCCTTCCCCAATTATGATGATGCGTAATGTAGGAATATTTTTTTTTAAATTAGACATTAATTTGTATATAATATTATTGTAACCATATATAATTGTTGCGACTATGGACCTTGCAATTAAATTACATTTCTCTCATTTTTTTTTAACAAGCGACGACTTTATATATTACTGCTTCTACATACGCATGTGTTTATCTATACTATAAGTGGCCTGGTAGTATATTAGTCCTTACTTCTGTCCGTCCTTGTTATAGCCACATTGTCTTCGTTTTTAAACCTGGAGCGTGTGGTCGTGCGTTGGGATGTCTCTCTCTCTCTCTCTCTCTCTCTCTCTGGGCGTGGACAGTGAAACATGATGTTCGGCGCCGTTTCATGTTGAAAAGGGGAATGTGAGAAGGGAAATCTGGACAGATATGTGTGAGAGTGTTGGCGCCATTTTATAAGGATACACACCTAAATAATTCCCCCCCCCAAACTTACAAGCTCACAACGGAAAGATGTATATCAGTCATCATATTGTATTTGGCTTCATTAAAAAGCCGGATTTCTTGTATATTTGGAGTATTTTTCCATAATCTCAGAAACACCCAAAGCCGGCAATGGGCTTTACAATATACACAAAATGATATCTTCGTGACCTACTTATTGTTTTTCTCAGTTCGCAGTTTTTTACGACCGATAAGTATACTACTTCTGAAATTATGAAACAATGCCCACATTATTTCCAGCAATTTTTCTTCTTGCAAAACTAAAACTTTAGCCACGCGGAAAGTGTGATGACTTTCATTGTAAAAAAGTTTATGGTAAATAATAAGCATGATTTGAAACTTTTGCATACTAAAAAGGGTACAATTTTTCAGACATTGTAGAATACTGACCAGTAGATCTTTCAAAAACATACATAAATGCATAAATAAACAAAAAAAAAACATAGTCTTTAAAAGTACCAGCTATATAAAAATGTAGGATGTTTTTTTTCAGGTTTTAATGAAAACCAAAATTGTTTTCTACACCTTTTTGTTTTTAGTACTTACCTTTATGTGCCAAACATGGCACAAGTATTCAAAAGGCTTTAGGTCTTAAAATGTAAAAGAATATAAAACCCACTTAACGTAGAATTTCTTTCTGACACGATTCCATTGGTCTCTTTTGAATATTTGGGGGAGGTGGGGGGGGGGGGGGGGGGGAGGCACAATACTTTTTAGGAGTTGGGGGCGGAAACTTGATAAGTCTATTCTTTAGGAATATTATTTTTATATCTATTGTGGGAAAAGGGGGGTGGTGAATTAAATTGTTCAAGTATCTTGTTTTGGGGATGGGGATAGACTTGCTTCGTACGGCGTAGCACTAACGGACAACGAAGTTTGTTTATACAACTAAACGTGATAGCTTATTTTAAACTTCCTTGTCTTGTTCTTCACTGCTTTATCTTGAAATGTTCAGATGGATACTTCTTTTATCAGTATAGTACACGCGCTGAGCGATTCTGAATTGGCATTCGGGGACTAGCTGTAACAGAGATTCAGCTGTTGGCGTCTTTACGATGAAATAAATTAAAACAAATTGTATATTTCCCAATGTAGAAACTATACCCATTCTTGATAATGATTATGCGTAATGTATAGGAATGTTTTAATTTTAATTTCATTAATGTTTATGTA